TAGTCCTAGTAGCAATGGCAACGCTGGTAAGCTTCCTCATACGAGGGCCTTAACGATCAGAGTGGGGCTTTGAAGTCTTCACGGTATGGTAAATGACCTGAACCCTAGACTTTTGACCCTAAACAGCCCTGCCCTAAGCCTATCCTTTATAGCAGAAGCACGAAACCCTGCCTGGCCAAGCTGCTTGAAGTAAGAAGAGGAGGCGAACTCCTTCCGATTCTCTTCAGAAAGGCAGTGGGGATCAGGTTCTTAGGGTCCGGGACATGAAACTTTAAGATGGTTGCGGGTTGATGGTTGCGGGTTTGGGGTTTAGGGTTGAGGGTTTAGGGTTGGGGGTTTAGGGTTGGGTTCAGGATTTAGGGCTTAGGGTTTAGGGGTTTATAGGCTTTTGGGTTTCGGGCTTAGGATTTAGGGTGTTCTAGGATTTTGGGATGTTTAGGGGTCTAGGTCCGTCGGTTCGCATCTAAGGCATCAGGTGAAAAGGCCCTCATCCAAAACCCTCAAATCCGAATCTCTACACCCTCTAAACCCTGAAGCCTTTTTGAACCCGGAGCTCTAGCCAATCAGCCGGAAGCCACGAAGCCTAAAGCCCTAAAGCCCTAAAGCCCTAACCGTAACCGTCCTAACCCACAAGGAACCCTTACAAACCCCCCTATGGATCCCTCCTGCAACCTTTTGAAGCCCTTAGCTTCCTGGCTCCGCAGCTCGACTTGCATGGGCGTGTCCACCACGCCGGGCATCACGGACCCAACCCGGGCACCGGAGGGTGCGAGCTCCTGATTTCAGGCATTTAGGGCTGTGGGGGTTTAGGGTTTAGGGGGCTCGGGGTTTGAAATCTAGGTTTCAGGGTTTGGGGTGTTTGGGTTTTGGGTTGACGGCTTTGGCGTTTGAAGGCTTCAGACCGGCGTTGAGGGTTGGGCGGGTTTGGGGTGTGGGATTTGGAGTTTCGGGATGAATCTGCAGAAGCCTCGCAGCACAATTCGAACAACGGGTCCTCTCCATCATGCTTTTGAAGCCCGATAATACCTAATACGCTGTCCGGAACATAATGCCGACTGAAAAAAGACTGCTGGCAGGCCCAATCTGATCCAGGCCGGTGCACGAATGGTTGCCATTCCGGATGGTTACAATGTTCCGCGGTACACCGAAGACCCACATCACCCAGACTACTCAGATACCCGGCACAACACCCATACCCCTGACAATGCTCGAGGTACCCACCAGGCATCACGAGACTCAAGAAACATGTGCAAGTCATGGAAAATCACGGTGCTCTCCTACTTCACATCCCGTTGTAATCCCAGCACACGAGACTTGTATATACTGTAATATACCCGAAAGCCCTGTCCTAACAACTGAGGCTCATAGAACTGATAACACTCAACCTCAAACCCTAAACCCTAAACCCTAAACCCTAATCCCTAAACCCTAAACCCTAAACCCTAAACCCTGAACCCTGAACCCTGAACCCTAAACCCTAACCCCAAATTTCAAGCCCAAGCCCCCAAGAAGCTCCCGAGTGTTGTTCGTTACAGCAACTGAAGCCACGAAGCCCTACTCAAAGGATCATGGGACCTGGTAGCCAGGGTTGTTAAATAAGGTAACTATACCTATGATTGCTTATAAGCCCACTTTGGCTACTTATAGCCTTGCTAAGTCCCATGAACCTTCAAGTAGACCCTAAACCCTAAACCCTAAACCGAAAACTAAAC